AATAATAATAATAATAATAATAATAATAATAATAATAATAATAATAATAATAATAATAATAATAATAATAATAGTAAAATAAGACAAGCTTGTTAAAAAAAAATTGTCTTATTTTTGTTAATAATACATTTATCAAATTTTGTTATAATAAATTTAGATGGCATTCAATGTATTGATAGAGTAACAGAAGAACCCTTTATTCTCCATACTCACATTTTAAGTTGGTCGAGTGATATTCCAGCGCTTGCTAAAATCATGTATACAACTGGACATAATTCTTATAAAGCTTGTCAGTTTTGTTCTATTCGAGGAGTATGTTGCAAAGAAAACTGACATATTTATTTTCCATTTAAGCCTCCAAATAATGTGTTAGGATGCCATTATGACCTCCAAAATCTCCTTTTATGAACACATAAAAGTTATTTGCTAGACGCTACTACTATAGGATATTTAAACAGATCATCATGTAAGCATGAAATTCAAGACAGAGGCAAGTTATCTATTTAAGTATTCATAATATTTTAAATGGTTTGGGTAACATGTTATATCTTTAGGTGTAAATGGCAGAAGCATCTTATTTGAACTTAAGTCAATCAAATTTCCTGATTCATTTCCTGTTAACATTATGCATAGATTATTTGAGAATATTGCACCAGCAATGTTTCGACATTGGTTTGATTCTTTTTTTAAAGATAGTCAATTTTCAAACTCTGAATATATTATTCCTAACAATGCATGGACTGAAATCGGAAAAGTAATAGAGAAAAACAAAAAAAATATGCCTTTAAGCTTTGGCTATCCACCTATTAATATTCAATGGCATTCTGCAGCATTTAAAGCAGAACATTGGTTAAATTGGATAGTATTATATTTAATTTCATTATTGCAAGGCAATCTTCCGAGACAGTATGTTAAAATAATCATCATTTAAGGCACTGTCAAGCAAACATACTATAGTGAGATTAAAAATTAGTATAAAAAATTAATTGTAATATGAGGTGCTATTGACTAATTGTCTATGTTAATGTTTGATATAGTTATTATACTAAGTAAGTTGTTAAAATAACATGTTACAATTAATCTTGTGTAATTACTTTTTTTTAAATCTCACTATGGTACATTTTAATTCATTTGGTATTAAAAAATTGGTAATGTTTTTATATTTATTAGGTATTTAAATGGTTGGGCAAAATTTTTATATGCAATAAAGCTCTGTCTTAAATATAAAATTAATATGACAGAATTAATGGAAATTAACAAATTATTTTGTGAATTTGTTATACATTATGAAAAGTATGTTTATGTAATTTATTAATTATGTAGCTTTATTGAATAAGATTTATTAAAATTTTATTACTTTGTAGAGATTATCTTCAAGATAACCCCAAACAACTTCCGGCTGCACTTATTTCTTATCATTACTTATTACATATTGCAACTTCAATTCGCAATACTGGGCCTGCATGGTCAACCTGGCAGTACCTGATGGAAAGATTGTGTGGAATGCTATTGCCATTAGTTCGTTCCTAGCAGCATCCATATACTAATCTTCAAAACCAAATTACTATGTGGAATCAGTTTTCACTCCTTCAATACAGATCTGAAATAAATAAAAATCTTTTTATAACAAGTTCAGAGAAATTATCAAAACATTCTGAAAGTTGCATTTTTATTATTGAAGATGTTGAGGAAAAGTTATATTCATTAGCTCTTAACTATTGCATAAACAAGACTGAAACACAGCACCTTAAGATTTATTATGCAACTATGTTAAATCAACCTATTAATCGATTAAATGTAAGTTTTTTTTTAAAAAAACTTTTGTAAAAGACTTATAACTTATAATTCCTTTCATATATTTATTTGTTTAAAGTCACTTACAAAGTCTGTGCAAAAATATAGAAAACTTCAAACAAAGCAAGACATAATAATAAATTTAAGACTATCAAATTGTAAATGTGATGTAGCACATACAAATTATTGTATTGCCATATGTATATTATTGAATTTAATTTTTTTATTTTTTTATATTTGAGTGCGTGAGAGTGAAAACCTGGAAATACATTTGATAATTTATTATAATTGGTTACAGGTTTTCACTCTTATGCACTCATTGGTTTATATCTTACGTATTAATAAGTTTATTTTTCAGGCTAAGCTTTTAGTTGATCGTAATGCGCATTATAAAAATGCACCTGTTATTTTAGAAATGCAAGAATTCTTTGGTGAGGTGTGTTATTTTTTTTCATACCAATATGATAATAAATGGTCAATGCTGGCATATGTGCATTGGGTTCATAACCCCTAGCTTTCTAAACATGGACCATTAAAGTTTTGGGATTTTGGCTCATTCGAGATAATTAATGTTAGTGCAATAGACAGAAATGTTGGTTTTCTAAAAATGTATAATAATGAAATATATATTATTGACAAAGAAAATCAAGTCAAGTTCATTATTAAAAAATAATAATAATAAAGTAAGACAATACTTAAATTTTCCAATATATTTTTAGATTAGTTCCAGATTATTTTCAAATTATCTGCTAATTCATTTTTTTAAACTTTGTACTTTAATAAATTAATGGTGCTTGTATGCAAGTGATAGTAATATTCTATTTTAATTCCATATTCAAGTGTAAACAAAATTTTACTATAGAAACCAATAATAATATTATGGAAAAAATCTGGATTTGATATTTTTTAGTTGATATTTTTTATTAATATCTGGATATTTTATGAAGCTATAGTCATAATAATGGAAATTTAATGGATATATTTTGGAATGCCTTTTTTTATAGGGTTAATCATTTCTACTTTTAGCTCTTGTTAATTATACACAGTAATTTGTGTTGCAAATCTTATTTGTACTAGTATCTGAGTCATATCTGTGATTCTAACCATCATAGTTACACTTCAGTGTTACTTCTGTAATACTCTAACTATAAAACACTTGTTTCCATCTACTATTCTTGTAAAACAATCACCTAATTAAATTTTTAACTTAGAATTTTCTAAGTTCATTTTCTTATAACATTATTTAATTTATCTTATCCAAAAATGCTTATATTAACTAATTAAGAGCCTGACATAGCAGACCTTGACTATTTTTACTAAAACTTTTCTAATAGTTTTGGAATTGCTCTTTATGAAAAAGAAGTGGCAATAATGCTTATCCAATTTCTTTCAAAACTAAACTGAACTTCTGCTTAACTAAAAATCTTTGATCTAATAAAATTACTTATTTCTTTCAAGCTCCTATCTCTACTTCTGTAATTATTTGTCTTTGTGGCAAATATCATACCAGATTTATCTCAAATACTAACACCAATTATACCCAAACTACTGAATTCACTACAGTCAATGTCAACACTAATTCTAAAAAGAATCTCAACAAATTAACTCAACAACTTATGATTAATTTCTTCTTTTCAACTGACAGTGTTTCTCCATCTCTTACACCTAATGTACATTACTATACCTGTCCCAAATGCTCTCTTTTAATTGGTTGTACTAAGAGAAATGAGCGTCACTATCCTAATGAAAAATATGTTACCAAAAATAATGAAGTCTATCACCCTGCTTGTATGACTGCCTTATCTCAATATGAAGTTAGCTCAACCCAAACAAAAAAGAATTTTACATAAACCTTTCAAAAAATTCTTCATTAATCATCTCAAACTACCAATCTTAATTCTGTTTTCTCTCATCAGAACTCTTCTACTATTTCTGACCTTATTGACTTTTTTTTTTCTACAACTATTAATACTAATCTTGATATTAACCAACTTTCTATTATTACTATTCCTGATAATACTAACTTAAATTTTAACAACAACTCTAGCAACTCTAACCAACCTGATATTACCTTAAACAAACCTCCTATCCAATCTTACTTAAGCATTCTTAAACCAAAATCCAACCCTATATATGATTGGCTTGCAAATTTTCCTATTACTGAAGAAATGCAATCTAACAAAAAACTACAAACTACTTTCTCTCTTCAACTTTTCACTTTCTTTAAAAAATTTCTTTATGATTTCTATCCTGGTAAAGAAATTAAACCTGCAACTCCTACTCAATCTGCTCTTAAAGCTTCATTCTATTATATTATCTGTATCATGAAAGGACAATAATCTGAATTTTTAACTGATCTTATTTACAAAAGCAATTCTAATATTGACAAAAGTGCTACAATTCCTTTTGATCTTCTTGAATCTACTCTAAAAAACCTTATTCTTAAATTTACCACTATCCTTTTTACTAAACTTAACTATTTAGAAATTTTCGAACTTCAATCACTATTTCTCCATATATTGCTTATAATCACCTTCAACTTTGCCTTAATATTGCATGTCTTCATTTTTTCTTATCTAATAATTATCAATCTATTGATTATTAAAAATTTGCTGAAGATTTATAACTCAGACCTAAAAGATTCAAAATTGAATCTTTTACTCAAACTACTGACCTCTACAAAAATATCTCACTATCTAATCTGATATCAGATTTAACATCAAACTATTCTTTAATATCTCTAAACACTTTTTCTTGAAAAATTCTGTATCCTCTTACTTAAAAATTCTCTTGACCATTTTAATTCCTGGTTTGAAACCTACTATTCTCTCTATAGTTGACAATTCTCATCTAATATTGACAAAGAAAAAGTTAAAACTTCTTTTTGAATTCAATTCTGTTAATACTTCATTCTTTAATTTTTAAAACACCTTCCTGAAACCTATATATTTCAAAAACCCAACTTACTCTATGAATAATATGAAGAAGCATCCTAAGTTGCTAACTTTTACTATCTTATTTGTGACAATAAACTATGTCAATATCTTGATAACAAAAAGTTCCATGACAGCACCAAACTTTTTAATAATATTCTAAACAAATCCCGTTAATTATTCCTATCCAAAGACAATGAAACATGGATTTACCCAACTTTTAATACTACACTCTTTTATAAAAACAAGAAACATGTTGCTTCACTCAACTAACCTATTTTAACCAAAGCTTTGGACAAGTTAGCTAACCAAGCTGAAAACTTTGTTTGTGAACAAAACAAAGTTAAAACAAATTCAAAATGTTACAACTACTATTTCTACTATTATCTCTCTTTTTATTATCAAACTGCTGCAGAAAACCACAATATACAGTTTCTCTTTAAAGAGGAGGCTATTAACTTATTAACAAAAAATATTATTAATACTAAATTGTTTGCTCAGATTATTACTTATTTTGATATCATAAAAAACTAAAAACCTACCTATCTACAAATTGTCGAATACTTTAATAATACTGCTTATTTAGCAGCTAAAAAGTTTTTAGCAAAAAAATTTCATCTTAACTTCCAACTAGTCTTAATCCTTAACACCCTCTTTTTACAATCTTCTTTTTAAATTCTTTGTTTTTTACAACTAATATGAAAGCAGTCACCTTCTTATTAAAAGATACAACTACAGTAGTTAATAAGAAAAATGAAATAAGTAGGTAGATGGACAAGCCTATTTATACAAAGGCCAGAATAATAACAGTTAGACCCAACATACAAAGCAGACTATGGTACCTTGCACAGCTATGAGAGCTAAGCATATGGTGATCAACTTTGTAGAAGACAACTTTGAAAGATCATTTTTAACATCTTTAATCTCTTATGATTTTTATACATGTTTTAACAAATTTCTTCTTCATTACAATTTACTACTTCTTCTTCATGGTCAAACTATTCAAACCTTAATTCAACATATTGATAAACATAATAATAACAAAACAGTATCTTGTATCACATTTTCTGTTAATTCATCTTATAATGAAACACACATATATCTTCTTAATAACACTCTTTTACCAGATTACATTGTCATTACTTTTTATCTTCTTTCTATATTCTACAATCTTTCTCTTAGATCTAACTCTTTTAATTTTACTTCTATTTCATCTGATTTATTTTTCAACAACCATTCTTCAATCTTTAATCATAATTCTTCTTCATCTTCATCAAATTCAACTTTACATCATTTCAACCTAACTATTGCTACACATAATGTTAGAGGTTTTAATGATCTTACTAAGAGAAAAGCATGACAGGATTATTGCCTCAATCATGACATATCCATTGCAAGCATTACAGAAACAAAAATCTCTAACAAATCTAATTTCTTTTTCTGTAATAACAACCTCTTTACTTACTACTGGTCTAATTCTGCTACCTCTATAGAAGGCATTGCTATTATGATTTGCAATCATCTTAAACCTCATGTTCACAGTATTTATACTCATCTTGGAGATGCTATAGCACTTGATATCTTCTTTCAAAGTAATATCAAGCTTTGCATCATTTCAATATATCTGTTATCAACTGATACTTCTATTCGTAATCAAACCTAAAATAAAGTAATCAACTGGATTCAACAAGTCTTACAACTTTATATTTATTCTATAATTCTTGATGACTTTAATACACAAAATAAGAGGATAGCGATCCTAGTGTAGTGGTTAAGTTGTCATTCTCCAAGCAGTAGGTCCAATGTTCAATTTTCATCAGTAACAAATTTTAAAAAAATAGACCTATTCTGGCAAACTTATCCATGATCTGGGATTTGTAGATCCTATAATTCTGGTTATATCAAGACTAACTTAAAGTGTGCAATGTTACATGAATAAATCCAGAAAGTATATACTCAGATTAGAAGTTTGCTTGGAAATCCTGAGCAGAAAGGTAATACAACTTTTGATGATGCCACCTGTGAAAATCTTGATCTGCTGAAGAAAACCTAGGGCAGGTGACCTGTACAGGCAATAACTTTTAGGTAGGAGGTCCACCAATCTGGCCACTGGTTGATCTAAGCATGAAGTTGCATTATGCAGGGCTAACTGAATTGGTAGTATAGAAGGACTTGCAAGGGTAGATGAGATAATGATAAGGTTGTAAAAGGAGGGTACTAGGGTTGTATGAACTTCGCAAAGATTATAAACTAGGTTTAGCTGTAATTTGGGATATAGAAGGCTCTAGTAACGATGTCTTGAAGATAATCTGCATAAACTAAGACAGAGGTCCTAAAAGTATGGGTAAGCATCTAGAACTTCTTGACTGACATTATGTGACAAAGATGTTCTAGTGATAACAGTAAGGATTGCAGTATAGAGGGTTCAAATAGGCAACACTTGTAGTTAAGTTGCAGGTATGGCAGCTAGTGTAGAACCTATATATAGGTGAACTACTTAAATTAGACACCAAAAGTGTACATGTGACTAAATGTACTCTCTAATATAAGGTAGCTCCTTTGAGGTAAGCAGACCATGAGTTACTATGTTCTATAATACTGAATAAAAAAGTCCTAGTCCTCAAAAGACTAGTTTTAAAAAAAAAAAAAAAAAAATACACAGAATAATACTCACAGCTTCTTTTCTAAATATAAACTTATTAATTTTCTTAATAATTCTAATATGTATAATATTGAAGCT